GACGTTGCCTGCAGCGAATTGATGTAAAAGATGTGAACCATGTGACAGTAAATGATTTGTGTGATAATAATACAATGTTAAATCATACGAAGCGCTGCTGTGGTAAGGAGTTGGTGGACAGCAGACGGGACGGACATGTGATGGAAAAAGGGTCTGCGACACGTTACCACGAACAAGTCTACCATCTGTTTGACAGGAAATCATTCACTGCAGACGACTGGAGACCCAGAGCCAGCGTCTCTAATCTGTGAGCGGCTCAGTTACCCAGCTCCTCCAGGCTGGTGATGTATTGGCTCCTGTCAAGGTACTGCCTATCCTGTACAAGGTCTTACTAAGTGGCAGGATTGATGCTTACCCTGCCACAAAGGTGGCAGCTCCTTGCACTGATGGCCTGCTGCCACTGCAGAGTAGAGTGGCACAGCTTTCCTCAGCAGACAAATACGTTTTTTTTCAACATATAGATTATTTTAATACAGCTTTATATTTTCAAGGACAAGAAAAACCATGGTTATATTTGGTCTGTGGTCAAGTGAAAGTTGGGTTTACTAACCCAATGGACGAGTGGAAAAGGGCTGATTATATTAACCACAGTTATGGGAGTGATGAGACCTGTAGCTGTTATGGGAGTTCAAATATAACACTCAAACTAAAATCACCACAAAAATATTACCACTGATAATTGGCAGAGAAATTGATACCACAAAACAAGGTTACCACTAGAATGAGATCAACACCTTGATGTTGAAGTACCACTAGAAAGAGATCAACACCTTGATGTACAAGTACCACTAGAATGACATCAACATCTTGATGTTGAAGTACCACAAGAATGAGATCAACACCTAGATGTACAAGTACCACTAGAATGATATCAACACCTTGATGTTGAAGTACCACTAGAATGAGATCAACACCTAGATGTACAAGTACCACTAGAATGAGATCAACACCTTGATGTACAAGTACCACTAGAATGAGATCAACAACTTAATGTACAAGGTTACCACTAGAATGAGATCAACACTTTGATGTTGAAGTACCACTAGAATGAGATCAACACCTTGATGTACAAGTACCACTAGAATGAGATCAACACCTTGATGTACAAGTACCACTAGAATGAGATCAACACCTTGATGTACAAGTACCACTAGAATGAGATCAACACCTTGATGTACAAGTACCACTAGAATGAGATCAACACCTTGATGTACAAGTACCACTAGAATGAGATCAACACCTTGATGTACAAGTACCACTAGAATGAGATCAACACCTTGATGTACAAGTACCACTAGAATGAGATCAACACCTTGATGTACAAGTACCACTGGAATGAGATCAACACCTAGATGTTGAAGTACCACTAGAATGAGATCAACACCTTGATGTACAAGTACCACTAGAATGAGATCAACACCTTGATGTACAAGTACCACTAGAATGAGATCAACACCTTGATGTACAAGTACCACTAGAATGAGATCAACACCTTGATGTACAAGTACCACTAGAATGAGATCAACACCTTGATGTACAAGTACCACTAGAATGAGATCAACACCTTGATGTAGAAGTACCACTAGAATGAGATCAACACCTTGATGTACAAGTACCACTAGAATGAGATCAACACCATGATGTCGAAGTACCACTAGATGAGATCAACACCTTGATGTACAAGTACCACTAGAATGAGATCAACACCTTGATGTACAAGTACCACTAGAATGAGACCAACACTTTGATGTACAAGTACCACTAGAACGAGATCAACACCTTGATGTACAAGTACCACTAGAATGAGGTCAACTCCTTGATGTTGAAGTACCACTAGATGAGATCAACACCTTGATGTACAAGTACCACTAGAATGAGATCAACACCTTGATGTTGAAGTACCACTAGAATGAGATCAACAATGATGTTCAAGTACCACTAGAATGAGATCAACACATTGATGTACAAGTACCACTGGAATGAGATCAACACCTTGATGTACAAGGTTACCACTAGAATGAGATCAACACCTTGATGTACAAGGTTACCACTAAAATGAGATCAACACCTTGATGTACAAGTACCACTAGAATGAGATCAACACCTTGTACATCAAGGTGTTGATCTAATTCTAGTGGTACTTCAACATCAAGGAGTTGACCTCATTCTAGTGGTACTTGCACATCAATGTGTTGATCTCATTCAAGTACCACTAGAATGAGATCAACACCTTGATGTACAAGTACCACTGGAATGAGATCAACACCTAGATGTTGAAGTACCACTAGAATGAGATCAACACCTTGATGTACAAGGTTACCACTAGAATGAGATGAACACCTTGAGGTACAAGTACCATTAGAATGAGATCAACCCCTTGATGTACAAGTACCGCTAGAATGAGATCAACAACTTGATGTACAAGTACCAATAAAATGAGATCAACACCTTGATTTACAAGTACCACTAGAATGGGATCAACACCTTGATGTACAGGTACCACTAGAATGAGATCACCACCTTGATGTACAAGTACCACTAGAATGAGATCAACACCTTGATCCTATCGACTTATGATTATTGCAGTGCTGATTAAATTTTAATGGATTTTACTTTTGACAAAGTAACAACCAGACTGTGTCTAGAATGTGTATTTCTGCTAGGTGAAGCACATCATTAGCAAATAACAATCACTTCAAATCCCTAACGTCTGAGGAAACATTACTTTGGTTTGATCTTTCGTGATCCTTTATAAACACACGAGAATTTCACATTATTTATCATGACAGAGAGAAAGAGAGCATCGTGACGAGATGAATACAATCTTGCTAATGAAGAGGAGGACAGATCGTAACTACCTACGAACAACATAGGAGGTTCACCAACATTCTAACATTACTAGTATTAGACAATGTAGCCCGGTTACCATGACAACCGTTTGATTGCTAACAGATATACCTAATTATACAACAAAATAACTAGATTTAATCAGATAACTTGTATTAGGATTCATTTTCTGAGGTCATAAAAATAGAAAAAATATCTATAAATAGATTTTGTGGTGATAATACATTCTGTTTGATAGTAATTGCTAGCCATAAAACTTACATTACACATGTACACGCCATCCTCCATGGATCACAATATCCTAAACCGTCCCCAACATAATGACAGGCCAGTGCTATATAAAGTCACGTTATACTTTATTCAACTTCTGTTTCTTCTTCAGTGGACTATAAAGCTGAAGTTAGATCATCAACCTACTGAAAAATTACCGTAAATATTATAATGGCGCCCCCATCCAGATCATCAACCTACTGAAAAATTACTGTAAATGTTATAATGGGGGCCCCATCCTAAACCCCTGATTTTCTCCTTCTGCAGTAAAAGTGGCAGCAGCATTATTTTTTCATCTCCCATTATACTATATTTATCCATGTTTATTTCACTTTCATAACAAGAGGCCCAATTGGCCTGCATCGCTCACCTGGTATCAATCTCACACTTGTAACCTCAAAAGTGATCAAAAATAAAGCTACAGGCAAAATATCACTATTTATGACTATAAGTCATTCAAAAGAACCTGTTAAAAGATTTAAAAACATTTCACCCCTGTGACCTTGAAAGTCGAACAAGGTCATTATATTGAACCAATTTTATAGCCCTTCATCTCAGGATGCAACTTGCAAAATATCACCTACCTATCCTTTTGTTTATTGAGATTAGGTCATTTAAATGTTTATACATATTTGGCCAAATGTGACCTTAAAAGTGGGCCAAGGACATTCAAACAAAAAAGATTGATAGCCCTTCATCCAAGCATGCTACTGGCTAAATATCACCATTCTGAGCCTTTTGGTAACTCATGAGAAGATGTTGTTTAAAGATTTTCACCGTATTTGATCCTGTGACCTTGAATAAATGTCAAGGTCATTCATTCGAACAAACTTGGTAGCCCTTCATCCCAGCATACTACTGGCCAAATACCTAGGCTACATCCTGGGCCTCTTGGTTATTCAGATTTTTTTTTGATTTTTTTTTTAAGACAATTGACCCCTGTGACATTGAATATAATTCAAGGTCATTCATTTGAACAAACTTGGTAGCCCTTCATTCCAGCATACTACTGGCTAAATATCATCACCCTGGGGATTTTGGTTATTCAAAAGAAGTTGTTTAAAGTAAAATATTGATGCCGGACAACGGCCAGACGGCGCACCAGGCCAGGTGACCTAAAAATGCCAACCATGTTATATCACTGTCCTGTAATAAGCCCACCCTGCTACTTTGAGTCAGAGATTATGTATTGGCTCTGGCACTCATTGCAGGGTAAATAGTGTTCTCCAACAACAGGTCCCCGCATTGTTATATAATATAGCTGACATAATACACTTGGATATTGAGCAGAATATGTATGAGCTCTCACAAAATAGCTTGCCTCTTTTTAGTTCCTTTCAAAGCCTGTTTTATTTTTTGTGCTATGCCAGATGATTCTTTTTAGGCTATTACATTATATTAGGATTTCACCCTTTAAATTAAAATCAATCCATCTGTCATATATCACCGTTCATTGTAATACAAATAATTCATGTATTTGGTGCCAGTGGTGATGTGCTATCAATAGCTATATCTAGTTGTTACATTTAACCATTCAGGCAGAAGATATAAATACCCAAAGTTAACATTCTAAGATATCTGACCTGTATTTAGTAATTCTGTTGGCCTTGTATGGGCTCTGCATGCACTAGTATATATATCTAATTGTTCTGTTACAAGTGGTTGTGTTATTAAAATGTATTTCAATTTCTATATCATTATAACAGTCCCTCCATAATGGGATATTATCATGATATAGGACCCTGATACAAGCTGTGACAAGGAAGAGATACATTTCACCAGAGAGATAGATCAGGATTATACACTACAGAGTGGTTGTCTCCCCTTACACCGTGTTCTGTGCCACTACTTGTAATGTGTAGCTATACTGGGTGCTGACCTACCTCGTTTACGTCTGGGTTTAGGGATTGGAGTATCATCTACTAAAGAATGAAGGAGAAATCCAGTCAAGCGCAGAAACTCCAAACAAATTAACCCTTCCGCCTATTCAGCCAGGCTCTTCAACCTATCTTTAAGTTTACATGAAAATTCTACCCTATTTCCATGTCAAATTTGCAAAATGATATTTAAACACATAATTAGTTAGTAGATAACTGTCTGAAATTTAAATTTTAGTCAGTAAATAAAGTCTGAATGTGCACAGATCGTAGCATTAACATCACTTAAAAATATTCCTCTTTGTGTTCACAGTATATACTGAAAGTTTCAAACTACAATTAGTAAACGTGTGGAATTTATCTAGTCCTGCAGGACATGCTATATAAATGCTTATAGAGGATTATATACATGTAAGTGCACAGAAACTAACTAGAACTGTAAGCTGAATTTTTCTAACGGATCAGAAAGCACGAGATTATTGCGCGGATGAATATATTCACGAGTGCGCGGAGTGTGGTCTTGTTTTTATTACATACCTTCCGTATTTAATAGAGATCGATACAAAGATTTATAAACTTTAATATTTTTTGCAAATACCGTGAATTTTTCAGTTCGCCATGAACAGGGGAATTTCCATAAAAAGTAGTACAGGCTAGTAGGTGTGCAATACAGAACGTTGTATTTCATGGTCTGAAAATTGCTTGTATTACTATAACAAGATTCAACAGGTATGTGATAAATACTATTGTTACACCTCAAGTGAATTTCTAGCTATTTGATTGGTTGGGAAAAAATTAAACAAAAATCTCTGTCACCCTCTGAAAATACATTGGTTTTAAGGGGCGCGGGTGATATTGCCATGAGACAGTAAAAAATATCACATGCGCGAAAAATGTGCGTTCACAGCTTCGTTTCCCCACCGTGATGGTCACAAGAACGTTTGACGGCAACAGCCAATTTTATCAAACGCCGGTGCGATAGCGATTGTAAACAGCAGACTATCAACAAACAAGATGTCATTATCAAGGTTTGCTGCCGTTTCTGAGCTACAAAGACGTTTGGTGTAACAAAATAGATATGACATTCATTAGCAGGTGACAGTGAATATTGTCAACCCTAAAAAACCTATTGTCACCCTCGGCTTCGCCTCGGGTGACAATGATTTTCTCGGGTTGACATTATTCACTGTCATATTTATATAATAATCCCCACCCAAGCATTAGTTTTCAATGTTGCAGCCTATCTGAGGCCATAGGGGGTAATCTTGAAACCCCAATTTTATACATGTAAGTCAGTTTTTAAATATAAAGCTGATTTCCCACATAATACTTGATCCAATAGTGGCCGTCTTTTTAATCCCCAAAAGGTTTAAACAGGTATGCCCCTTGTAGCTTTGAACAAACTTAATTAGCATTCATCCCAACAGGCAACAGGCAAAACATCATCACTGTAAACCCCTTGTTTATTTAGGGGAAGTTGTTTCTAAGCTTTTACACATTAAACCCCTGTGACCTTGAAAGTGTGTCAAGGTCATTCATCCAAGCATGCTTTATGCCAAATACTAGAAAGTAGGTTAAAGAGAAAAGTTGATGCCAGACGGCTGCCCAGTGGGACAGATGGATGGAAGACAGGCAGACAGACAGAAGACAGAAGACAGAAGGACAGATGACAGACATCATTGTTGATCACCGGACAGGTGAACGAAAAACCCTTTAATTAAAATGCATCAATCTGTCATGACCATCACCATTTCATTGTAATATTTATTATGATTGACGTATTTGGTGGTCAAGTGCTATAAAAAGCTATATGTTATTGTCATTCAATATTGACATTCTAAAGATGTCTGACCTAGTATAGTTCAGTGATTCTGTTGGCCTTGTAAGGGCTCTGCATGAATATAACATACATTGTATTGTTTTTGTTACTAAATAAAGGATTTTTTTAAAACATTCGTCATACTCATAGATGTAATTAACATATAATGGTCGACAACTTTAAATAAGAGCTGAATCAAAAAGATCATTTCTGATTATACTTTATAAAAGATTTGATACAGAAAGGTTGAAGATATTGGAAGAGGGGAGGTAACTAGAGCATTTGTATAGGAAATAAATCTAAATCAAAGAGACATGGAATAAAATGTGTTGTTGATATTTTATCTTTATTCAGAGGGGTTTGCTGGTAAGTAAACTGTAAATTGTGTTTTATGTACTTGCACTTGGACGCATGGTTCATGTATGTTTAAATCGTATCTTACAACACAGAGGTCGTTGATATACCGTTACACAGATATAAGGTATCGCTACATCCACTTATAAACACAACCTCAACATATTAATTATTCCATTAGCAGTTTTTTTGCTGAAGTACAATATGTACTATATTTATTAGCAAACTAAAACATTTGATGTTACTTTCAATTTAAAGAGTACCTATTCATATCCCTGTACTGTAAAATTGACACGGCCATGAAAATTAGTCCTAGATCTGCAGCATTTTAAGAAATGGAGAAATACTTGGTACCTCCTGGACCTGGAATTTCTCCATTGTTATGATACAGGAAAAAACTAATACAAGCTGTGTCAAGGAAAAGATACATTTTTATCAGAGATAAAGCAGCATATATACGCAACAGGCTGGTTGTCTCCACTTACACTAGTACTGTGTTCTGTAGTACTGGGTAGAGTAAGATAAGGTGCACAGCGTTATATATAGTCAACTACAGTGGATGTGTACCTACCTCGTTTACGTCTGGGTTTAGGGATTGGAGTATCATCTACTAAAGAATGAAGGAGAAATCCAGTCAAGCGCAGAAACTCCAAAATTTAACGCAGAAGCTCTAACAAATTCACCCTTCTACCTGTTCACCCAGGCTTCTTCAACCTGTAGTTAAGTTTACATGATTTTGTTTTTCTATTTCCACGTAAAAATTGCAGGTTTCTTCGTGCCATAATCAGAGCCATGGTGACCTTCGTTGTTTTTTTCAATTTCTTTGACATTCTAGATAACCCTGTTCTAGCACATTTTACTTATTACCAAAGGGAACGTTTAGTCACAAAGCCATGTATTAGGAGACAGAGAAAGGGTCACTGGTGCTATTATTTGTATAGAGGAGGCAGAGAAAGGCAGAAATTCCACACACCAAACAATCCTTATACTGTTGGAAGAGAGGTCACACATGACCACAACTTCACATAAAACACTATCATGATGTTTTACTGTAAACACTACCATTTCTACATTCAATCTTTTAACTAATTTTGTGTTGGTTAATTTGGTATGAATGTACTTTCAAGTTACTGTATTAGCAGGAAAGTTTCACACAGTGAAATATTTTCTTATCACAGGTCACTGTCCATTTCAAACAGTATGGACTGTGTACAAACATTTACCATTTGTCCGAAGGATGGAGAGAGACAACGGATCAATATCAATTTTACTGATGATAAGCTGAAGCGTGCCTTTTCTGAGGATGGTTCAACACGATACTAAGCTGCCTGTACTATACAGATATAGTCAGATACAAGTCTCATCTTTACAGTAAATCAAGTAAGATGAAGCAAGAACAGAGCGCTGGGTTATAGCCGGTTAAACATGATAACCAACAATGGAGGGATCAAACACAAACAGGCTGGGTTATAGCCGGTTAAACATGATAACCAACAATGGATGGATCAAACACAAACAGTTTCAAAATTGTTGGAAAAGCATTAGAACAGTCCACATCAGAAACACCTCGAGATAACCTGTCATTTAATGTATAGTCCCCCTCAACATCTAGGTCCCCTTTTTCAAAATAGTCCATTGCTTTATCTGTGTTTATATCTTCCGACCGACAACTTCCTTTATAATGCCTACACTTTGATCTACAAGGTTTATACTGTGTGTCGCGATTCAACATGATAATGTTTTAGAGGAGCTGTCTGAGGGTTGGCGTACGTACCTGGTGAGGTTATATTGATGGCAGGATTCGAGACTGACAAGTAGACGACAACCATAAATAGGTATTTTTTTGAGAATCAGCCGTTAACAATATTATACCAATACTGCAACAGTGTATATTCTGTAGGGTTCTCAGAATTCACAAATACTGTACAATCATTTCAGGAAATTTCAACATTTAAGGAGTTTTCTTTGTGTACTTTGCCTACGAAATGAAATTTGCTATTCACAAATGTCTTACAAGTTGTACAGGAACTTTCCTGCACATTTCGGGGGATATATCTTGAATATGAAAAGAAAAAGTTTGTGTCTATAACCTTTTAACTTCTGTCTGGTTTTATCTGAGCCCTGTGGGTCAGTCGGTCAGCTTGTAGCACTGTTGTATATTAGAACATATTAAGAAAATAATAGTTATGCTGTATAACTGGAACATGTGAAGTTCTTTTTTTGTCAAATTGGGGAAAAATATCGGTGATGAACTATGTACTTACCAGGAACGGCGGCGAAGAACTTGACGGCATCGCGGTGGCCGTGGAAAGACAACTGGGCCTGAGCCATCGAGCAGTAGGGGATGAAGCTACCAGGTGTCACGCTGTCCGACTTGTTGTCGCTATACACACGGATAATACCACCGGGACGACCCCCACTAGAGGCCGTGGTTACAGTCTGTTTGTTACCTAGTAACGCAATGGAAGGGGTAAATAAAACTTTGTTACCTAGCAACAAACCAAATGAAAAACTGTAAATAGTTTTTTCCTAATATTCCACAAGTGTAAATTCAACAAGCACATTTCATATTTTTTATCGTTGAATACTTTCCAGAAATACCATCAACAGCTACATTAAAACCTGTTCAAATTAATACAACTTTGCTTTTACACACTTTTAACATTACCTTGTATTCCATCTTATTTAGTTTCTCAATTTTTAGATAGTGTTAATAATTCATTACCAATATGTAAGCTTAATACCAATTTTCACAATTATTTAATCTGTTTATCAAAACTGTTTCAGAAAAATATCAACAAAACTTTTATTTGAATTGAATATAAAAATATTTCTCTTTTAGTGTCCACAATCTCTTAACTGAAACACAAAATGAAGTGATATTTGAGGGAGGAGGACGATGTATACTTACTTTCTGACAAAGGCACAGAGATGACAACTCCATTCCCGGTGCCTATCCACAGACGGTTACAGGAGATCAGCATGGCCGTGATCCGTACGAAGGAGAAGCCCAGCTTACCCGTACCTACAGGGGAGACAACTCTGTGTTAATTCTATATCACAGGAGATCAACATGGCCGTGATCTGTACGAAGGAGAAGCCCAGCTTACCATACCTACAGGGGAGACAACTCTGTGTTAATTCTATATAGCAGGAGATCAACATGGCCGTGATCTGTACGAAGGAGAAGCCCAGCTTACCCGTACCTACAGGGGAGACTACTCTGTGTTAATTCTATATAAAAGGAGATCAACATGACCGTGATCTGTACGAAGGAGAAGCCAAGCTAACCCTACCTACATGGGAGACAACTCTGTGTTAATTCTATATTAGAGGAGATCAACATGGCCGTGATCTGTACGAAGGAGAAGCCCAGTTAACCCGTACCTACAGGGGAGACTACTCTGTGTTAATTCTATATAAAAGGAGATCAACATGGCCGTGATCTGTACGAAGGAGAAGCCAAGCTAACCCTACCTACATGGGAGACAACTCTGTGTTAATTCTATATAAGAGGAGATCAACATGGCCGTGATCTGTACGAAGGAGAAGCCCAGTTAACCCGTACCTACAGGGGAGACAACTCTGTGTTAATTCTATATAACAGGAGATTAACATGGCCGTGATCTGTACGAAGGAGAAGCCCATCTTACCCGTACCTACAGGGGAGACAACTCTGTGTTAATTCTATATCACAGGAGATTAACATGGCCGTGATCTGTACGAAGGAGAAGCCCAGCTTACCCGTACCTACAGGGGAGACAATGCTGTGTTAATTCTATATCACAGGAGATCAACATGGCTTGGACCTGTACGAAGGAGAAGCCCAGCTTACCCGTACCTACAGGGGAGACTACTCTGTGTTAATTCTATATAACAGGAGATCAACATGGCCGTGATCTGTACGAAGGAGAAGCCAAGCTTACCCTACCTACATGGGAGACAACTCTATGTTAATTCTATATTACAGGAGATCAACATGGCCGTGATCTGTACGAAGGAGAAGCCAAGCTAACCCATACCTACAGGGGAGACAACTCTGTGTTAATTCTATATAACAGGAGATCAACATGGTCGTGATCTGTACGAAGGAGAAGCCCATCTTACCCGTACCTACAGGGGAGACAACTCTGTTAATTCTATATCACAGGAGATCAACATGGCAGTGATCTGTACGAAGGAGAAGCCCAGCTAACCCATACCTACAGGGGAGACAACTTTGTTCAGATGTTGTGAACAATTGAAAACCTCAGGACAATGATATGCAGACTTAACAGTTAAATGACGAAGAACGCTAGTTCAATGTCTTGTGGGTGTATGTTGGTAAAGTCAGGGAGATACTTAAACATTTTACTGACGTAGGGCTCTCTGTCGACGTCCTAGAGGTGTACATGGGTACAGAGACAGACTTACCTAACATTTTACTGACGTAGGGCTCTATGTCGATGTCCTGAAGGTGTACATGGGTACAGAGACCTGCTTACCTAACATTTTACTGACGTAGGGCTCTATGTTGACGTCCTGAAGGTGTACTTGGGTACAGAGACAGGCTTACCTAACATTTTACTGACGTAGGGCTCTATGTTGACGTCCTAGAGGTGTACATGGGTACAGAGACATGCTTACCTAACATTTTACTAAGGTAAGGCTCTCTGTCGACGTCCTAAAGGTGTACATGGGTACAGAGACAGGCTTACCTAACATTTTACTGACGTAGGGCTCTATGTCGATGTCCTGAAGGTGTACATGGGTACAGAGACATGCTTACCTAACATTTTACTGACGTAGGGCTATATGTCGATGTCCTGAAGGTGTACATGGGTACAGAGACCTGTTTACCTAACATTTTACTGACGTAGGGCTCTATGTCGACGTCCTGAAGGTGTACGTGGGTATAGGCGTGGTACAGCCGTAAGGTACTGTCCAGTCGGATGGACACCCACACTCCGTCTCCTAGCCAGGCCACTTGTCGTACCTGGCTCTCCTTCCGCGGATGAGCATCAAATGTTTTCTGAAACGTACGAGTTAAAACTTATCTGAACAGAACAAAGCAACCAACAAATATTACCTTAGGAACACACAGGAATTAGATACAAACTGGCGCCGCTGGCCAGATGCTCAAACACATTTAGTTTATGACAAGATATATAACAGAAATATGAAAATATTTCTAAATTACTTTCAATAATATATGAATTTATAATGAAAATGACATAGGAAGAATCTGAATACTAAACTTAAAACAAGAGGACTACAATCCTGGACTACAGGTCAGTGGTGTGATGTTGTACATATATCCTACATGATTCTACATGAGGCTGGAATATAGGTGTCATGTTTATAAAGTGGTGGGAGAAAATGTCGAAGGCAATACACCAATACCTCTATGTTCATTTTTTCTGGGTCAACAACATGGATCTTGTTGCGGTAGCCGCACCAGACATGTTTGTTGGCTATCACAGTCATACAGCGGATTGAGTGGTGAGGCCGTCCCAGGTCAAGGAGGTGGTAGTTCTGTAGATCCCACTGACCTTCTGTAAAGGGAGACAACTCTCTTTTATTAACTATTTCTACATTCTCCAGTATTCCTGTACACTTATAGAAAGGTGTTATTCATATGCAAAGCATTTTCCCTTTAAAACACACACACACACACATGTACACACATATATATGTATATATCTATTTTGAACAGCAGTGAATTAATGCCTTATTTAGGTCTCCAAAATCTCTGCCTCTTTTTTCATTTCATATCTTATATACAATATTCAGTAGTTCAAAAAAAGCTGCCCTAGTATGTTGATAATTCAAAATGTTAAAGCTGCCCTTGGTGCCTTAAAGTTGTAAAATAAGCTGCCCTTGGTGCCTTAAAGTTGTAAAATAAGCTACCCTTGGTGCCTTAAAGATATAAAATAAGCTACCCTTGGTACCTTCAAGATGTAACATAAGCTACCCTTGGTGCCTTAAAGATGTAACATAAGCTGCCCTTGGTGCCTTAAAGATATAAAATAAGCTACCCTTGGTACCTTCAAGATGTAACATAAGCTACCCTTGGTGCCTTAAAGTTGTAAAATAAGCTACCCTTGGTGCCTTAAAGTTGTAAAATAAGCTACCCTTGGTGCCTTAAAGTTGTAAAATAAGCTACCCTTGGTGCCTTAAAGTTATAAAATAAGCTACCCTTGGTACCTTCAAGATGTAACATAAGCTACCCTTGGTGCCTTAAAGTTGTAACATAAGCTGCCCTTGGTGCCTTAAAGATATAAAATAAGCTACCCTTGGTACCTTCAAGATGTAACATAAGCTACCCTTGGTGCCTTAAAGTTGTAAAATAAGCTACCCTTGGTGCCTTAAAGTTGTAAAATAAGCTACCCTTGGTGCCTTAAAGTTGTAAAATAAGCTACCCTTGGTGCCTTAAAGTTGTAAAATAAGCTACCCTTGGTGCCTTAAAGTTGTAAAATAAGCTACCCTTGGTGCCTTAAAGTTGTAAAATAAGCTACCCTTGGTGCCTTAAAGTTGTAAAATAAGCTACCCTTGGTGCCTTAAAGTTGTAAAATAAGCTACCCTTGGTGCCTTAAAGATATAAAATAAGCTACCCTTGGTACCTTCAAGATGTAACATAAGCTACCCTTGGTGCCTTAAAGATGTAAAATAAGCTGCCCTTGGTGCCTTAAAGATGTAACATAAGCTACCCTTGGTGCCTTAAAGTTGTAAAATAAGCTACCCTTGGTGCCTTAAAGATATAAAATAAGCTACCCTTGGTACCTTCAAGATGTAACATAAGCTACCCTTGGTGCCTTAAAGATGTAACATAAGCTACCCTTGGTGCCTTAAAGATGTAACATAAGCTACCCTTGGTGCCTTAAAGATGTAACATAAGCTACCCTTGGTGCCTTAAAGATGTAACATAAGCTACCCTTGGTGCCTTAAAGATGTAACATAAGCTACCCTTGGTGCCTTAAAGATGTAACATAAGCTACCCTTGGTGCCTTAAAGATGTAACATAAGCTACCCTTGGTGCCTTAAAGATGTAACATAAGCTACCCTTGGTGCCTTAAAGATGTAACATAAGCTACCCTTGGTGCCTTAAAGATGTAACATAAGCTACCCTTGGTGCCTTAAAGATGTAACATAAGCTACCCTTGGTGCCTTAAAGATGTAACATAAGCTACCCTTGGTGCCTTAAAGATGTAACATAAGCTACCCTTGGTGCCTTAAAGATGTAACATAAGCTACCCTTGGTGCCTTAAAGATGTAACATAAGCTACCCTTGGTGCCTTAAAGATGTAACATAAGCTACCCTTGGTGCCTTAAAGATGTAACATAAGCTACCCTTGGTGCCTTAAAGATGTAACATAAGCTACCCTTGGTGCCTTAAAGATGTAACATAAGCTACCCTTGGTGCCTTAAAGATGTAACATAAGCTACCCTTGGTGCCTTAAAGATGTAACATAAGCTACCCTTGGTGCCTTAAAGATGTAACATAAGCTACCCTTGGTGCCTTAAAGATGTAACATAAGCTACCCTTGGTGCCTTAAAGATGTAACATAAGCTACCCTTGGTGCCTTAAAGATGTAACATAAGCTACCCTTGGTGCCTTAAAGATGTAACATAAGCTACCCTTGGTGCCTTAAAGATGTAACATAAGCTACCCTTGGTGCCTTAAAGATGTAACATAAGCTACCCTTGGTGCCTTAAAGATGTAACATAAGCTACCCTTGGTGCCTTAAAGATGTAACATAAGCTACCCTTGGTGCCTTAAAGATGTAACATAAGCTACCCTTGGTGCCTTAAAGATGTAACATAAGCTACCCTTGGTGCCTTAAAGATGTAACATAAGCTACCCTTGGTGCCTTAAAGATGTAACATAAGCTACCTCCGGTGCCTTAAAGATGTAACATAAGCTACCTCCGGTGCCTTAAAGATGTAACATAAGCTACCTCTGGTGTATGAATATCAACTTCTATTTAGTTTACAACAATTATGAACTAAGCTTGTTGAGCTTTAAATTGATGACTCTATCTGGCCCAGATGCACAGAGGGTCTTGACATGACAGGAAACTGTGCTTACTAACCTGGGTCTCTGTGGAAGATATTCTAACTAACCTGTGTCTCTGTGGAAGATAGCTACAGTTCCGTCAGCCAGGGCGGCTAGCACTCGTCCCTTCAGATGTCTGTAAATATCAAGAAAAGTACAGAACAACCTGGTTAACCATTGATAAAGCTTTCTATAAAGTTTGAAATTTCCATACAGGTGATCAGACCAAAATCATTCCCACTTTGACATCAACTGCAAGGACACCATCATCATTTAGAGAGTATGTTTATTCTGACATTCTTCAAACATCAGGACCCCAAATTACAAATATAATTTGAAGTCCAAATGATGAGATTTGGTCAATAAAACCGACAATGTATTGTCTTTACTGTGACATTACAAACTTCAATACTAATTACAATCACTTACAATTTCTGTGATAAAACTACAATGACTTACACAATGTTGAGAACGGAGTCCCTGAGTTTGACGGAGTGTAGACATCGTCTCCACTGGGCCACCGAGGAATGTACATACAAACTGTAAACAGAAACCATCACTCTATCTATACCAGTACATATAAACAAGGCATATAATAGTGACACTTGTCTGGTCACTACATCGTCTCCACTGGGCCACCGAGGAAAGTACATACAAACTGTAAACAGAAACCATCACTACATTTACACTTCAGTATCTTACATCCTGTCTTATCTGACCAATATGTTGGCTCACAGGGTGACAGATTAGACAGATTAATTTGACTTATAAGTGATCTCACAGGGTGTCAGATTAGACATTTTTATTGTGTCCCACAGTGTGTCAGAGTAGACAGGTTTACTGGACCAACATATTGTGTCCCACAGGGTGACTGAGGGTGTCAGATTAGACAGGTTTATTGTGTCCCACAGGGTGTCAGATTTGACAGGTTTATTGGACCAACATATTGTGTCCCACAGGGTGTCAGATTAGACAGGTGTCACAGTATGTTAGCATTCCTTTTACAAATTTAAATTTCAGCAGAGTACATCCATCATATTCCCAAGGATTAATGATGTAAGACAAGCAGTTATATCAACTCATAAAAAACATTGACGGGGAATCCACACCGACCATTTTACGTTTTTACTTAGTTACGCCTCAGTCTTACCTGCCACTTTGTGAGCCTAACCACATTGTGGGTAGCACACTGCTCATCTTTTCTGTCTCCTCGTACTGGAGATCGCTGTCCAAGGGGAGAGGACTGATACCATCACGGACAAGGTCGGCCTGTTCCTGTAACGCGCGCCGGTCGAGGGAGCGTGAGGACGATGTAGAAGTGGGCGTGGCTGTACCCGAGGACACGGGAGATCCCTTCGCTTTAAACACGGATGGCGGGCCATCCTCACTACCAAACGCAGCTGAGTAAAATATTTTTATTTACTTAATGATGTTTAAACTACTGTCATTTTAGATTAAATATTTTTTGTAGTATTTCACAAATATACAATGTTCCAGTCTAATAGTAATAATGGTAAGAACATTTAAATTGATGTTAAAGATGTAGAACAATCTGTTTTAACTTCTTGTTATACACAATATCAAAATATTCATGAACATTGACAGAAAGTGTGTAGGTCACCAGGTAATTAATTCATAATCCTGTGATGAATATCAAACATATGGATTACAAAGTGAGTGATGACAGAGTGTGTAATGACTGGGTATCGTGGAGGAGAAAGCGGTGTACCCTATATACTGTGGATGTTAGAATACAAACAACTGTTCACCCGTGTGCTTAATATAACAAAGCTAGTCATGAATTAAGCATAGGAAATTGGATGCTGTTACCCAATTCTATGTGTGGTTATAATTAATAGATCAAAGTGACTGATATATGGAAAATGATTTGAAAAACATCAAAGTTTTTTTTATTAATCCAGTGCTATTTTATTCCAACCAGTAGGGTATGCAGTCCAACCACTTGACCTGAACATACATACAGCTTGAAGAATTTTTTGCCTTAACATAAGCAATACTGTTCCTGTGGAAAATTTAAGTTAAGAAAAGGACCTAAAGTCAATGTTTAAGAGAACCCAAAGCCGGGCCTGGCCATGTAAGCCAGACATGTTAAATCTATCCCCATTGACCATAAAGGCAGGCAGCAGTGTTAGGTATGTGGCTACTGTCTCTTCTTCTAATGGGTTCTGTTTGTTTGTCCAATGGTTCTTAAAAAATACTTATTCACTTTTAACTAGAATTGGCTTGCTTTAAAAGTAATCATGTTTTTTAAAAATTACTTCAGTGGAATACGTGTAACTATCATTTCAAACGAGCCTCATTTATCCAGCCATCACATATCCTGTTGGATTGTCTTATTAACCAGAAGGTGTTTTAAGGGACGGAATGGCCCTTTCCTATACAGTAAGTACCTGTAACCAGTGTTTTAAGGGACGGAATGGCCCTTTCCTATACAATAAGTACCCGTAACCAGCTGTTACTCAATTCAGGAATATGGTGGCAGGATTAAAGAAATACGACTGAAGAAGTAGGCTGCTCTGGTTAGACTTCCCCTACAGTCTGACATGTAACTGTTAGAATTTGAAGAAAGCCCTTCACTGTACATGACTACCTGATCCCCGACCTCACCTTCATAGCTACTTCCCCTACAGTCAGACATGTAACTATTATAATTTGAAGATAGCCCTTCACTGTACATGACTACCTGATCCCAGACCTCACCTTCATAGCTACTTCCCCTACAGTCAGACATGTAACTGTTAGAATTTGAAGATAGCCCTTCACTGTACATGACTACCTGATCCCCGACCTCACCTCCATAGCTACTTTCCTTACAGTCAGACATGTAACTGTTAGAATTTGAAGATAGCCCTTCACTGTACATTACTACATGATCCCCGACCTCACCTTCATAGCTACGTTCTGAGATGAGACTTTCTGTGTCGGCCTTGTCCCTGTGTTCCACACTGGTATCTAGTTTCTCCTCTGTACAGCCACACAGAAAACGCACAGAGTATTATATAAGTTTTCACCACAACCATGCCACCATCTCTCAACAGAAAACTATAGCTACAGATTTTCTCAAAGCTACCATCCCCTCCCAACTCATACAAAATGCATTAAACTATATTAGCAAGAAATTTAAGTGAAATGGAATAAGATACTTTTTGAATTTAATGAATTAAGTTACATGATGTAAACAAGGTTTTAGAATACAAATACATATATAATCATATATTATAAAAGATTAAAGGGTGAAAAATACTTTTGAGAAAATCTATTTGGAAAAAAATATTCTGTTGAGAAATTTGGGCCAGAAATATTTTTTGCTAAATGTATGGGAAATGTTCTTGATCCTCAAACATTAACTCTGAATCTCCCGCTATTGGTTATTTTAAAGTCAAGAACATTTCCCCTACTTGTATAGGCAGCTTATCAGCAGAAGTTGATATTGATACACTCAAATCACTGCATTGCAATTACCAATTCATAGCTGGATAAAAGTGATACTTACTCTAATTTCATTTTATTCAAGATAAAAATAAAAATTTATTAGATTTTGTTTTTAATGATAGACTTTTCTTTGAAGGGGCTTGCAATGCATTTATTTGAATTAATTAATGCAAATTAAGTATTTGATTAGTATAATGTTAAACTCAATGTTATAAATCCTATAGAACAGTCAAACCTTGGCACTCAGTAGCTTGACTCTTGAAAGTATTACAGAACAGTAGCACGCTTTATCTGCACTTACAATTATTTCACTTATGATGGTCAAATTAACAAATTATTGACAATCTTATGAAGATTTAGCTATTATTTAAAAGGTGTGCAGTCATTTCTGTGTAAATATGATTTTCGACAAAATAAGGTTTTCTGTCCATTTTCTCTCTCTCTTTCAACTAAGTGAGTTTTTGGGTAAAGTGCAGTATGTTTACTGTAGACTGTTTATCACTGTTAAACAGGTGAGACGAACTGGTGTTTAGATGTGACTTCAGGGAAGCAATTATAATTTCCTGTCACCCAAAGAGAAACAATACTTTTATATGATTATTTCCAAGTCTTGATTAGAGGTCCACAAAGGTTGACAGCTACATACCACCACTACTCAGTCAAATCGCTATCAATCCTACAAGTTATGCTCTAGAGGGCATGGACGATCTTGCCTATCAAACATAAAAGATACCTTGATTTTCCTAGTCATTGAGAAGCTTGATCAGAGTACCAGAGTTTGACTGCGCCATGATAAACCTATAAATGTTTGTGATACTAGCACACTGTAAAAAGGAAGCTGCCGAGTTAATTAGACGAAATGAAGGAGATAAAGGAGTATATCTAGCTGTAACAGGTTATCTATATATATAGTGTTGTAACAGCGTGGTGAAGATTTCGGGATTAAAACCTGATGATGTACAATTTGCAGTAGAACAGGTTACAGCTTAGCACCAGTAAGTGGTAAAGGTTATGATGTAAGACTACTTACCACTGCTAGAAAGGTTCTGTACCGCAGCAGACAAACTGTCTTCATCTGTCACACAAAACACAAGTTATCTCCCCTGGATCACACCACACACTGATTCAATACAACTTCAGTTACTAAATACCAAACAGAATACAACAAAGACAATGTTCTCCTTAGAGGAAGTGTCATCATTTACTAGCTTCTATATTGTGATGTCCCAACTATCTGTAATCAATCTTAGTCACTGCGCATTATCAGTTGTAAAACTTATTTCGAGAATCTGTTTTATTATCTTTGTTACCCTATATCTGTATTAATAAACTGTGAACAACAAAAAGAAACAAATCTATTGTTAAGTTACGTATCTTTGAAACATTTTAACATTTATCATTTTAACATATCTGATAAGAGAGACGGACAGACAATAGATTCACCAACGTTAGTGCCCTCTAACTTGTCTAAAGTGAGCGTTATTTCAGGGCTGTGGTGTATACTACTACACACTGTAAGTTTCTACCGTACCAGACTTCTGTGGCGAGCCTACAGGTGATGAGGTCGGGGAGCCCGACGCGCCTCCTGTGGCACACTGGACCAGTGTGATGCCACCAATACCACTTTCGGTCACAGAAGTGGCCAGATTATCGGATGCAGGCTCGGGTGGAGGTTTGTATTGTGGATAGGACTCGGCCTTCAAAATATCCTCATCCACTGTGTAATCGGACTCAAGGGCACCTGTAAAATAGGCTTCATGTAAGCTGGGAAAGTTCAAAGGTCAAAACAGGTTAAAGGGCAACTGCTACATGTCAAAGGTCAAGGACAGTGCTCAGACTCAATAATTCATGCAACTGGAAAAGATCAAAGGTAAAATAAAATTTGGAGTTTTAATAGGTGAAAGATTAGATAGCTGGGACAAGTGAAATACCAAAATAATTCTAGGTCAACTGTTACTGGTCAGAGGTCAAACCAAACAATAATAGCTTGGACAGGCGTTTTATATCCCATTGAATCTGTTGTGGGCAAAATTCAACATTCAGATGAAAAAATTATTGTACCAGATGACAGGGACGGGGAGGCAATATAGGCTTAATGGTACATGTTGCAGGTCAAAGGTCAAATATCATAGCATCTGCAAAAGGGGGTTTAAGTTCAAGTTGGATTATTTGTTAAATACTAATGGTTGATAGAGTTAATCAAATAGAAATACAACCTGTATTCCCTATTTGTTCAGAAACTTTCTAATGAACACTCGGAATGTCTCTAGGGTGTACTAACCTGCCACACTAGCTATACAGAGAATTGGTGAAGTGGACACTCGGAAAGTCTCTAGGATGTCCCCTGGATTGTTAGCATCAATAATCGACACTCGACTACAGGTTGCGGTCTGTGTACATATCCATACAAAGGAAGATAACTGTTCCTTCTCTGTATCCTTCAGGTTCTTCTCGTGATCCTTTATAGAAAAGTTACATACCGGTACACAATTAAAAATAATAACTAATTATTGATGTATTTCATCCTTTCTATGTCATGATACATTAATTTTGTTCTATTTTGTTGTTGGAGCAATTGAAACAATACACAAAATGTTAGTTCTTCTCAGCTGCCTTAATTATGTTAATCAGGGGAAGTCACTCTGATATATGAGAGAACATACATGGGCTGTACACAAGTTAACTTTTGCAGCAGCATTAATTCTGAGTCAAGTCTCCCAGACATATTCTTGATGAAGTGTCACTGCATACTGCCATCATGGTAGTTTCCTAGTTGCTTAAGTCCTTTTAAACATAAATATAACACAGCAATACAACACAGCAGTTATCAAAGATTTTCAATTCTTCAGAGTCACAATTCTATTTCCATGGCAACATCAGCTGTACCCTTACAATATGGGAGTTCTCTTACCTTGAGCTCCTGGTTGAGGCGTTCGACCTCATCCTTGGAGGAGTCCTTTTTGGAGCCATTTTCAGTGTCATTCACACTGGCCCCGCTGAGGTTTGAGTAGAACACACTTCCCCCTACAACAGAGCCACCGTCTCTGGTCCGACCTCCTGTCAGATTCACGCCAACAGCACACCAGATCTGAACAACAAAGGTCAAATTTTAGGGGTCAGCACCAATATTACTCAGGGTCAAGGGTCAGGTGGTCAGCATTCAGTTGATTCTGACTTCACATTATATAATACAGCACAGCCGGCATCTAGTTAAATAAACAATTAATGTGAGGAAAGATAAGTCACCATTATCGTAAGATCTGAGCCTTGTCACACAGTAGTATAGGCTTCAGTGCAAGGTATGTAACTTTTAAACAGCTTTACCTTAAGATCTGAGCCTTGTCACACAGTGGGCTTCAGTACAAAGTATGTAACTTTTAGATAGAAGAACTTTTAACTGGAGACCAGAGTCCTTGCATTGTCAAATGTTGATGTACAGTACAATGAACAGGCACAGGGACATGACTTTAATATAAACGAACTTTTACCTTAAGACCGGACTCCTTGTCAAACAGTGGTCTACAGTATACCGGGACAGGCACAGGGACATGACTTTTATATAAATGAACTTTTACCTTAAGACCGGACTCCTTGTCAAACAGTGGTCTACAGTATACTGGAACAGGCACAGGGACTTGACTTTTTGAGGGTGTATCCTTGCTTGGCAGAGACGGTTGAAACTTGGCAGGCAAGCTCCAACCGTAAGCCTGTAGTCGCCCATCATCTTTCTTCACGTGAGCCCGCACCTGCTTGTATTGTTCGCGGCGTTCCTTCTCACGTTCCTTTTTCGCTTTTTCTGACATACTGTACATAAAATAGAATTTTGGATTAGTTAACCAAGAACCTATATATATGTTGTGACTATTGTAATGACATAGTGAATAGGAGTTAGTACAAACCAGCTGGACAGACCACCTCTACTAACAGACCACCTCTATTAACAGACCATTTCTAAAACTTTCCATTCAGCAAAACAATACTGGTCGGATTGGTCCTAAGACGGGGAGACTATCTGACAGACAAACTATTGTAGATTGCAGTATGTTTGTCACGTCACCATAGGTTGACTATCTGAATCACTGTATCTCCACAAAATCATCACAGTATAAGTGAGATACCTGAAATATATACATATGTGATGCTGATCTCTTTACATAGGAATAAGATTTTGGACACTATATCATGAAATTTTCAGAAACTATCAAATATGGTGATACTTAACTTCTATATATATATATATATATATATATATATATATTTTTTTTACTAACTAACTGCTATTTAATACCTGTGTATTTTTATTTCAGAAGCAAACACATACAGTGATCTCAAGTTATTTTATGAAACAAGCTATTTTTAGTGAGAATCTTTCAATACTTATGTGTTCCATATATATTTCAGTTACAGAAATAATACTTAGAAATTTTAGGGAATGAGTTAGAGATTCTGTTTATCATATTCTTAACTAAAGCATATAAACTAATACACTTTGCATATACTGGGAATATGACAGGAAAACACCACAGTTTAGCCTTTATTGTGAAGTGGTCTTGGTTCTTGCGTAGTCACAGTATGATAATATTACACATTACATATTGAAAAGCTCCAAAGCCTGAGTATATGTTGGTGTTATAACACAGCTAGGCAGTAGACATGATGTGTTATAACACTGCTAGGCAGTAGACATGATGTGTTATTACACTGCTAGGCAATAGACATGATGTATTATTACACTGCTAGGCAGTAGACATGATGTGTTATAACACTGCTAGCACTTAACTAAAGCATATAAACTAATACACTTTGCATATACTGGGAATATGACAGGAAAACACCACAGTTTAGCCTTTATTGTGAAGTGGTCTTGGTTCTTGCGTAGTCACAGTATGATAATATTACACATTACATATTGAAAAGCTCCAAAGCCTGAGTATATGTTGGTGTTATAACACAGCTAGGCAGTAGACATGATGTGTTATAACACTGCTAGGTAGTATACATGTTGTGTTATAACACTGCTAGGCAGTAGAAATGATGTGTTATTACACTGCTAGGCAGTACACATGATGTGTTATAACACTGCTAGCACTTAACTAAAGCATATAAACTAATACACTTTGCATATACTGGGAATATGACAGGAAAACACCACAGTTTAGCCTTTATTGTGAAGTGGTCTTGGTTCTTGCGTAGTCACAGTATGATAATATTACACATTACATATTGAAAAGCTCCAAAGCCTGAGTATATGTTGGTGTTATAACACAGCTAGGCAGTAGACATGATGTGTTATAACGCTGCTAGGCAGTATACATTATGTGTTATAACACTGCTAGGCAGTAAACATGATGTGTTATTACACTGCTAGGCAGGATACATGATGTGTTATAACACTGCTAGCACTTAACTAAAGCATATAAACTAATACACTTTGCATATACTGGGAATATGACAGGAAAACACCACAGTTTAGCCTTTATTGTGAAGTGGTCTTGGTTCTTGCGTAGTCACAGTATGATAATATTACACATTACATATTGAAAAGCTCCAAAGCCTGAGTATATGTTGGTGTTATAACACAGATAGGCAGTAGACATGATGTGTTATAACACTGCTAGCACTTAACTAAAGCATATAAACTAATACACTTTGCATATACTGGGAATATGACAGGAAAACACCACAGTTTAGCCTTTATTGTGAAGTGGTCTTGGTTCTTGCGTAGTCACAGTATGATAATATTACACATTACATATTGAAAAGCTCCAAAGCCTGAGTATATGTTGGTGTTATAACACAGATAGGCAGTAGACATGATGTGTTATAACACTGCTAGGTAGTATACATGTTGTGTTATAACACTGCTAGGCAGTAGAAATGATGTGTTATTACACTGCTAGGCAGCATACATGATGTGTTATAACACTGCTAGGTAGTATACATGTTGTGTTATAACACTGCTAGGCAGTAGAAATGATGTGTTATTACACTGCTAGGCGGTAAACATAATGTGTTATAACACTGCTAGGCAGTAGAAATGATGTGTTATTACACTGCTAGGCAGTACACATGATGTGTTATAACACTGCTAGGTAGTATACATGTTGTGTTATAACACTGCTAGGCAGTAGAAATGATGTGTTATTACACTGCTAGGCGGTAAACATAATGTGTTATAACACTGCTAGGCAGTATACATGATGTGTTATAACACTATATATAGCAGTCTGAGATTTTTTTAACTGGAAATCACAATAGCCAATAGCCATCCATGTTTTAATCTAAACTAGATTTAAACTGTTCAAAATGACAACTGAAATAAAACAATCATGCTGGAGTTTATTTATTCAAAATATTCTAATACGAATTAAACAGAAAACAAAATTTAACTGTAAATAAACAACATTGTTGAAACATGCAAACAAACTGGACCCACTCGATCCCGCAACCTGTTACCCAAATACGAGGCGACCTACTTTGGCTGGTTCAAGACGGGTTCGTCGAGGAGATTCTCAATCTTACTGGACCTGACAATGGACGACCACATCTCCACATCAACACAACATGCGTGACACAACATCAAAGTTAAATCATAAAATCATAATATGTGCATACTAAACATAAGTTAAAGGCAAGTTTGAACCATTTAAAGACTACTTTTGTTACTACCAGGGTAGATCACTTGATTTAAGCTGTTTTAGTACTATTACCCCCTGTGGCCTCGGAGACGAAGAATGGGCCCAACAAAATCATTTCATGGCATATGATGCCTATATCACGACAAAGCTATAGGTCAATGACCTCTTAAACAGATGTCTCATCTTTTATTTCAAACAAAACCAAATTTTGAAAATGGACTCTCATGATCATCAAGAAAATCAAAAAGGTTGCCATACATATACGACTATAAAGACATGTGGTTTTTGGACAACTGACCACAGAACACGATAGTTACAGAAAATGTGACATGAATTTAAGCTGATTCACTGATCTCGATTTTGGACACTTTGTGGTTGGAGAAAAATCTATGAAGCAGAGAAAATGGTTCAAACTTCCCAAACGGAACAAAAAGTAACAAAACTTTGTGCATACAACATTATATACTGCATACATATTATATTGAAATTAAAGCAAAATAAAATAACACAGAATTATGAAATGAAAAGCTTTAAAATATCTTTAATTAAGAAATATTTTTTTTTAATTACTTTTAATTAAACTAACATGTTTTATAGAAGTTTTGTACTTGAGAATGAATATTTTAGACATATTCTTACAGCATGTAATCACGTCAAGTTAACAGTAAACCACTGAGGGAAACACATAGCTAACTTTATATTTGGTTCTTCTCTCATTACCGGTAAATTGCAAAGTCCAAAATAAGCAAGGAAAGCTGTGAAGTAATGTCCGCTAATATCAAATATCCACTACAATAAATAAGTTTGCAGCATGTGCGGGTGACTGTCGAACCAGTAAAAGGAATTCCCATGTAAGGTTTACTACAACAGGGAGGAGGAGCAGGGTGTACTGAAGCTGTGTCAATCTTTGTCATACTAACTCTTTAGCTATGTCAATCTTTTTCACAAAAGCTCTTGGATACATAGCCTCACTGAACACACATATCAGCTTTGGTTATTCAATCTAAATATTAAACCTTTCATTAGACACTTGTCTCCATCAGGATCTTGCACTTGGTTGTATACAGATCTGGATAACATTTGAAATTCTCTTCTTTACAAATTTGGGTAAAATTTCTATTCAGAAAATTTGGTTTAAATTATCTCATAAAAGAATTCACTAAAAACTTACATTTGCTTGTCTTTTTTTTTTTTTGATGAATAACCAAACCAAAGTTGTGTCTCCTGGTAACAATTTCTCTTATTTGTTAACTTTTCTGAATAGCAAAAATGATAGAATTTTGAAAGTAGATTTCAGAAGCTGCTGACTTTAAGCTCTGTTCTATCCTCGTGTCTGTTTTTGACCTCAGCTGTTTTAAGGACTTTAAACCACAAACAAACAAACTTCCCCACCAAATCTCCATTGTGAAACTTGTCTGAACTAGGTAAGAATTAAGGCCACAAAGTAAAGGTGCAAATTCCAGATACCAGCAAGCTCGAAGAAAAAGCGTGAAAACGAAACAAGTTTATAACGGTGTTTGTGATTGACAGTAGGTCATACCCGTGCTCATCAGCACTGTCGCTGGTCGTCCCCCTCCTGTAGAAGACAGACAGGCACACATGCAAATCATACTGGGTCAAGGTCAGAACAAGGTCATTATAAGGTCACAAAAGTTGTACTTACAGTTAGGATGTTCATAAATCAAACTTAAAACGCTTGCTTTCTACATTATTTAATCCTGGCACTGATTTTTGACTATTCCTGTTCCATTGAGGTGTAGAATTGGTTATTTCCATTGTTTTATAGCTAGATTTTAATCACACAAAAACAGGCATATTATCCTCTATGTCAATAAGTTGACATATCATAAGCAATTACAAAAAAACAACTAAAGAAACATAAATAAAATAACGCAAAATCTGCCATGCAGTTTCAATATGCAAACTAATAATTGAAACAGAAGATATATATAGACAAGTCCTGAGGACATGCTGCATCCACATCACACGCAGGGCCGTGACTAAGTGAAACGTTGTGAACAGGAACATTATAACATCAGTACAAGTTGACAAGCCCTTTACATTACTACTACAGATGAGCTTTCTCAAAGGAGGTTGTTTGGTATAAGAAGATTTTATAACAGGATCTAAGGATACTGATATGTGGGGTAACAAATACTCGACTAGCTATACGGACAATGGGGCTGTCAAACCAAGCTCTCCCTTTGTAAGCTATTCATTATGTTTGTTTAGTACACCAGAGTAGAGAGTCAAGCACAAGCACCTTCATTCTCCCACTAAGCATGATCTTTTCTACAGATAACTCTTTTTCAGTGACTTTTCTCACCCCTCCTTCCCCGAATAGATCTGATCTTTTCAAAATAAGGTTTATCAGACAATTTCATCTTTTATTGACTTTTCCACCCTTTCTTCCTTAAATAAACCCAATCTTTTCAATACAGGGGAAGATAACTCTATACTGACATCTTTTCAATACAGGGGAAGATAACTCTATACTGACATTTGACTTATCACTCCTGTTCTTCTCCAACTAGATCTGATATGTTCTATAAAAGGGCAGACAACTCTATACTTACAGATCATCATTAAAACAGATAAGTTTACGTAAGTTGTGTCACCCCTTCTCTCACAATCAATAAAGGGGCAGACAACTGTGTACTTACAGGTCGTCCTGGAGGAAGTCGTAGGCCTTGGCTTTTTCGCCCAGGTTTAGCTTGCTCCGCGTCCTTTTGTTCGGGTCGCCCACCGGCTGGACCTGCGTAGTTGGTGCGTTGTACTTGATGGTTGCCATGGGCAGTGGCCTTTTGGTCGGTTTGTTCGGGGAACTGAACAAATTGCTGAAACTACAAAGAGAAACTGGAGAGTGAGTAAGATATGATATCACTTTACCATATGTTTGTATAGTGTTAGTATGTGGCTGCCAAAACCATCAATGGAATAAGGTCATTTCTAATCGTACAGGTATCATTTTTTTTTTTACAGAATTGGTAAAAAGAATATTTTGATAATGATTTCATTTGAATATTATTGATGGTTTTGTGACTTGGAATATAAATTTTACTTCATCAAGGTAATGACCCATAGTATAAGCAAATTAAATATAAAATCATAGAAACAATCAGGTTAAATTCCAACAAAATCAAAATTTGAAATACTGACAACTAATATAAGCAAGTGCATAAACAAGCAAGGGATTTGACATATGATGGACAACAACAGGGACTCAACAACAAATAAATAGGCACATAAGCTAAGAGGCCCCTTGGGCATGTATAGCTCACCTAGTGTGTAGTGTTCATATTGACATTATCACTTTCATAGTTCTATTACAATTTATGCTCACGATAGGAGCATTTTTTCTCTTAATTTTCAAGAATCAAAATGAGACACTGAAATTATCTTTGTTTATTAGTGGCCATGTCATTCTATTATTGAGTAAAAGTTTGTTTTGTTTTGAAGTCTATTATCAATTACACCAAATGTCCCGTTCTATTGCATTTCAGGCTCACATGAACCTTAATGGAGGGTCAAGAATGGCTATATATGAACACCAGTGATCAATATGAAGGTTTAAACCTGAAACATAAGTTTTTACCTCAATCACCTGGAAATATCCCACAAATGAAATGTTATTTAAGATATATGTATATAGATATTGTTAAACAGATTATGGGATATAAATAGATTAAGGGATATGAATAGTCATTGTTTGAAATAGGGAAATAGATTAATAAGTTCTAGTAATTATATCTGAATATATCTGGAAAAAAGATAAATGTGTGTATATGTACATATATAAGAAATATAATAAACAATTGCTATTTCTATAAGTTTAAGTAAATAGATATATCTATGTGATTGTATATGTAATGTACATCAACACCATACACCAAAACATTACTACAATAACATTCTGTATCCCAGTTGAATGTTCCTGTACAAACCGACACCTTTTAGTGACTACATTCTATATCAAACTATTTATATACTGGAACCTGTACAAAATGACACCCTGTAGTTACTATCACAATCTCTATATACTGGTACCTGTACAAAATGACACCCTTTAGTTATTGTGTACTATCTAACTCTCTATATACTGATACCTGTACAAACTGACATCCTTTAGTTATTGTGGACTATCTAACTCTATATACTGGTACCTGTACAAACTGATACCCTGTAGTTACTGTGTACTATCACTATCTCTCTATACTGGTACCTGTACAAACTGACACCCTGTAGTTACTGTGTACTATCTAATTATCTATATACTGATACCTGTACAAACTGACATCCTGTAGTTACTGTGTACTATCTAACTCTCTATATACTGATACCTGTACAAACTGACACCATGTAGTTACTGTGTACTATCTAACTATCTATATACTGGTACCTGTACAAACTGACATCCTGTAGTTACTGTGTACTATCTAACTCTCTATATACTGATACCTGTACAAACTGACATCCTGTAGTTACTGTGTACTATAAAACTCTATATACTGGTACCTGTACAAACTGACACCCTGTAGTAACTGTGTACTATCTAACTCTCTATATACTGGTACCTGTACAAACTGACACCCTGCAGTTACTATCAAACTCTCTCTATACTGGTACCTGTACAAACCGTCACCCTGTAATTACTACATACTATATCAAATTCTCTCTATATACGGGTACATCTGTAAAGCGACACCGTACACAGACTACACTAAATTATCAATCTTTCAGGATAGGGAGGTACTAGGGTTAGGCAAGATGGTGATGAGGAAGGTCAACAATACGGTTATATATTGGATCAGATTCATTAGTGTTGTGTATACATTTTATCTAAGTATCATTAGGATCTAGGCAAATTTAATTCTGAATTGTATGTTAAGAGATAATATATGTGGAAAACTGTATGCGTAGATATAATGTATCTGTTATATAACCCCCTGACATCAAAATAATTTAAGCTATTTTTGGTAGAATTACCACAAAAAAGGTTTGTTATTTAGATGGATAAGTTTGACAGCTAACCTTAAACATTGTCTCCAAAGATACAGAGGTTTTACTTCATACATCTTAGAGTTGGGGGGGAAATGTTCATTTTTCGAAAAAAGATTCCTTGAATAATGCTTCACCCTATAGCATTCCTAAACCACTTCTGTCAATTTGATTAAAAGGTAACCAGGGACTGTTGATTAAACTGGACATATTGGTACAGGTAGGTCTCTACTCCAAAATTTATCAATAACTGGAGTTAAACTACAGTAACTCGATGAAAACTCAGAATATCAAATTCTATTTTAAACTTACCATCTTTGAATTTGTCTGAAGAGTGCAGTCACATGGCATATCAGCCAGCCAATGAAAAGCCCTGTTACACCGAACCATCTGCTGGTCGTAAATAGCATACTCCTAGGATTTTCATACATACCAGGGTAAGATTTTTTAGTCACATTTTCAAGAATTTAAGACTAAAATATTTCTTCACAAATATTTTTTGAACTTAACAGAAAAATCTTTTATCAAGTTTAACATTGCTGAGTAAGAAAAATATATAATTAAACAGTCAATATTTTAAACTAAACAATTGATATTAATAGTATTTAAGAATATCGCAAGAAAAAAAGTAATAGAATTTGAGGATTTTTTTTTTTACAAAAGAATTAACTTGGAGAAGAATTAAAACTTGAAAGCAGATGTTGAAGTAGAAAATTTGGAGTAGCTGACATGACGTTCCATGCGAACTGCACATTCCTCTTCAGCCATTGAACAAACCAGGAAACAGAGACAACCAACAGTCTGTTTGTTACACCCTCATATATAGTACTTCTTTTGTTAATCTTTTTACATTGAATTTTTGTTTTTTTTGTTTTTAAAGTTTACCTTTCAACATATTGTAAATGACCTGGGTAGTCCTCCTGTACCAATATGTGTCAAAATGAAGACAAAGACAACTGTAAGTATTATGTAATCTTCTACAAACAGTTAAATGGGAAACTTCCCCCCTGTTTTGCTCTTGAACACACGGTAGAAATTGTGATATAAATAATTATGTGGTTTTATAACGACAGGAGGATAAAATAAACTCTGAGCGAATTTGTTTGTTAATTTCCCACTTATAACAATATACAGTGAAAATGAAGTTGATAGGGCCAAGATGTATAGGAGTAAACATGCCCATTTTACCCAAAAAGCCCACCACATATACCCCTTCATAAGCAAATGATATGTTCCTTTACAAGTCTGGTCGTTATTTCTCTTTCAAGGAGCTGTAATTTCTTAATTATACTTCATTGTGATTTGGATCAAAGCAGAAGGGTGGATTGCAGCGGAGGAATATTGACTCAGGATAAAGTGGCTTTTAGCAGTCCTTATAAACCAGGTAATCAATCGCGATATTCCACCTAAGCTAAGCAATAAAGGTTTCTCTTTAATTTCTAAATATGGTAACATTTTTTGCTAAAATAACATAGTTTTAATTCTATTTCTTTTGAAGTACTGTATACATATTTCCTTAGCTTCTTCCAACTAGTGGCTCAGTTTGTTAAAGGTTCATAAAACCAAGTATGGACCTCATGACCTGTCTATATCAGGAGGATTTCAAACAGAAGATCAGTAGTAAGTGTACAATCAGTTGAGAGAAGTAAAGTGAGAGTTTGACCATGCACAGGAGGACATATGTACGCTGGATCAAAGACCTGATGTCCGTGTTATCTACACTATTTTACCAGATCAATGGCCTGATGTCCGTGTTATCTACACTATTTTACCAGATCAATGACCTGATGTCCGTGTTATCTACACTATTTTACCAGATCAATGGCCTGATGTCCGTGTTATCTACACTATTTTACCAGATCAATGACCTGATGTCCGTGTTATCTACACTATTTTACCAGATCAATGGCCTGATGTCCGTGTTATCTACACTATTTTACCAGATCAATGACCTGATGTCCGTGTTATCTACACTATTTTACCAGATCAATGGCCTGATGTCCGTGTTATCTACACTATTTTACCAGATCAATGGCCTGATGTCCGTGTTATCTACACTATTTTACCAGATCAATGGCCTGATGTCTGTGTTATCTACACTATTTTACCAGATCAATGGCCTGATGTCTGTGTTATCTACACTATTTTACCAGATCAATGGCCTGATGTCTGTGTTATCTACACTATTTTACCAGATCAATGGCCTGATGTCTGTGTTATCTACACTATTTTACCAGATCAATGGCCTGATGTCTGTGTTATCTACACTATTTTACCAGATCAATGGCCTGATGTCTGTGTTATCTACACTATTTTACCAGATCAATGGCCTGATGTCTGTGTTATCTACACTATTTTACCAGATCAATGGCCTGATGTCTGTGTTATCTACACTATTTTACCAGATCAATGGCCTGATGTCTGTGTTATCTACACTATTTTACCAGATCAATGGCCTGATGTCTGTGTTATCTACACTATTTTACCAGATCAATGGCCTGATGTCTGTGTTATCTACACTATTTTACCAGATCAATGGCCTGATGTCTGTGTTATCTACACTATTTTACCAGATCAATGGCCTGATGTCTGTGTTATCTACACTATTTTACCAGATCAATGGCCTGATGTCTGTGTTATCTACACTATTTTACCAGATCAATGGCCTGATGTCTGTGTTATCTACACTATTTTACCAGATCAATGGCCTGATGTCTGTGTTATCTACACTATTTTACCAGATCAATGGCCTGATGTCTGTGTTATCTACACTATTTTACCAGATCAATGGCCTGATGTCTGTGTTATCTACACTATTTTACCAGATCAATGGCCTGATGTCTGTGTTATCTACACTATTTTACCAGATCAATGGCCTGATGTCTGTGTTATCTACACTATTTTACCAGATCAATGGCCTGATGTCTGTGTTATCTACACTATTTTACCAGATCAATGGCCTGATGTCTGTGTTATCTACACTATTTTACCAGATCAATGGCCTGATGTCTGTGTTATCTACACTATTTTACCAGATCAATGGCCTGATGTCTGTGTTATCTACACTATTTTACCAGATCAATGGCCTGATGTCTGTGTTATCTACACTATTTTACCAGATCAATGGCCTGATGTCTGTGTTATCTACACTATTTTACCAGATCAATGGCCTGATGTCTGTGTTATCTACACTATTTTACCAGATCAATGGCCTGATGTCTGTGTTATCTACACTATTTTACCAGATCAATGGCCTGATGTCTGTGTTATCTACACTATTTTACCAGATCAATGGCCTGATGTCTGTGTTATCTACACTATTTTACCAGATCAATGGCCTGATGTCTGTGTTATCTACACTATTTTACCAGATCAATGGCCTGATGTCTGTGTTATCTACACTATTTTACCAGATCAATGGCCTGATGTCTGTGTTATCTACACTATTTTACCAGATCAATGGCCTGATGTCTGTGTTATCTACACTATTTTACCAGATCAATGGCCTGATGTCTGTGTTATCTACACTATTTTACCAGATCAATGGCCTGATGTCTGTGTTATCTACACTATTTTACCAGATCAATGGCCTGATGTCTGTGTTATCTACACTATTTTACCAGATCAATGGCCTGATGTCTGTGTTATCTACACTATTTTACCAGATCAATGGCCTGATGTCTGTGTTATCTACACTATTTTACCAGATCAATGGCCTGATGTCTGTGTTATCTACACTATTTTACCAGATCAATGGCCTGATGTCTGTGTTATCTACACTATTTTACCAGATCAATGGCCTGATGTCTGTGTTATCTACACTATTTTACCAGATCAATGGCCTGATGTCTGTGTTATCTACACTATTTTACCAGATCAATGGCCTGATGTCTGTGTTATCTACACTATTTTACCAGATCAATGGCCTGATGTCTGTGTTATCTACACTATTTTACCAGATCAATGGCCTGATGTCTGTGTTATCTACACTATTTTACCAGATCAATGGCCTGATGTCTGTGTTATCTACACTATTTTACCAGATCAATGGCCTGATGTCTGTGTTATCTACACTATTTTACCAGATCAATGGCCTGATGTCTGTGTTATCTACACTATTTTACCAGATCAATGGCCTGATGTCTGTGTTATCTACACTATTTTACCAGATCAATGGCCTGATGTCTGTGTTATCTACACTATTTTACCAGATCAATGGCCTGATGTCTGTGTTATCTACACTATTTTACCAGATCAATGGCCTGATGTCTGTGTTATCTACACTATTTTACCAGATCAATGGCCTGATGTCTGTGTTATCTACACTATTTTACCAGATCAATGGCCTGATGTCTGTGTTATCTACACTATTTTACCAGATCAATGGCCTGATGTCTGTGTTATCTACACTATTTTACCAGATCAATGGCCTGATGTCTGTGTTATCTACACTATTTTACCAGATCAATGGCCTGATGTCTGTGTTATCTACACTATTTTACCAGATCAATGGCCTGATGTCTGTGTTATCTACACTATTTTACCAGATCAATGGCCTGATGTCTGTGTTATCTACACTATTTTACCAGATCAATGGCCTGATGTCTGTGTTATCTACACTATTTTACCAGATCAATGGCCTGATGTCTGTGTTATCTACACTATTTTACCAGATCAATGGCCTGATGTCTGTGTTATCTACACTATTTTACCAGATCAATGGCCTGATGTCTGTGTTATCTACACTATTTTACCAGATCAATGGCCTGATGTCTGTGTTATCTACACTATTTTACCAGATCAATGGCCTGATGTCTGTGTTATCTACACTATTTTACCAGATCAATGGCCTGATGTCTGTGTTATCTACACTATTTTACCAGATCAATGGCCTGATGTCTGTGTTATCTACACTATTTTACCAGATCAATGGCCTGATGTCTGTGTTATCTACACTATTTTACCAGATCAATGGCCTGATGTCTGTGTTATCTACACTATTTTACCAGATCAATGGCCTGATGTCTGTGTTATCTACACTATTTTACCAGATCAATGGCCTGATGTCTGTGTTATCTACACTATTTTACCAGATCAATGGCCTGATGTCTGTGTTATCTACACTATTTTACCAGATCAATGGCCTGATGTCTGTGTTATCTACACTATTTTACCAGATCAATGGCCTGATGTCTGTGTTATCTACACTATTTTACCAGATCAATGGCCTGATGTCTGTGTTATCTACACTATTTTACCAGATCAATGGCCTGATGTCTGTGTTATCTACACTATTTTACCAGATCAATGGCCTGATGTCTGTGTTATCTACACTATTTTACCAGATCAATGGCCTGATGTCTGTGTTATCTACACTATTTTACCAGATCAATGGCCTGATGTCTGTGTTATCTACACTATTTTACCAGATCAATGGCCTGATGTCTGTGTTATCTACACTATTTTACCAGATCAATGGCCTGATGTCTGTGTTATCTACACTATTTTACCAGATCAATGGCCTGATGTCTGTGTTATCTACACTATTTTACCAGATCAATGGCCTGATGTCTGTGTTATCTACACTATTTTACCAGATCAATGGCCTGATGTCTGTGTTATCTACACTATTCCTGTTTAGTACACTATTTTATCAGACTGGTTAAGCATAAGATTCTAAAGTGATTTTTTGTTCTTTTTCTCTTTTTTCTAATGTAATAAATGATACATTTTGTTATTTCTTATAAACCTCTCAAAATAACCCCAGTTATTAGACTGGACAATGTGTATTTACATGTCCTACCTACACGTGTCTCGGACTAGAAATTGCACAGCTGAGTAATGCTATCTATTAATTGCCTTTGCAGAAAACTTGCTAAACTGGACCCTTATACATTTGAAAGAATATTGAATGAAAAAAACTATGACGTTCGGAAAGCTCATATTTCCACTTCTGATTTTCAAAGTCCAACTCTATTTCTTTCAAAACCTCAGGTTCCAGATTAACCAGTTTTGGCAGTCAGCAGGCTGTGAAACTGGCTTCTAAGTTGGAGATGTATAAAAGCGTTAAACTTTAAGGTAAAAACTCTTGGAAGATAAAAATCAGAAAAAGGACTGATACAGCCCTCCATTTGATGACTTGTTTGAGTTAGAAGATGTAGAACATATCTTGCTTTTTCATTCAAAAAATGAAAAAGATCACACTGAGTGAAGTGTTTTCATTCCGAGGACTGCAACGTGTTTGTAGTAGTAGTTTTAGTAGTCGGATTAGTAAAGTTTTTATCCCCAGAGTTTAGTGTAATCACTATAACATACCTGGACATTTTCTTAGAGAATTCGGACCTATTTTAATAAACAAATACAAACCAATTCACTGTAGAGTTGATGATATTGAAAGTTTCAGTAAAGATTTCTTTATGGTATAATATATTTTTCACAGATGAAACATTTCTGCAATTTTTTTCAGAGAATGATGCTTCATTATCATATTCTGTGAAAAGCAATTTCAATGACGATGAATTTTCTTCCCTGCAAAAATGTAAACCGCAAAAAAAACCCTGAATCTTTACTGTTACCAGTATGACGTCATGCTTCAATGATACAGTAAATGACCTTCAGTTTTGTAGAATGATGTCATGCCTTCAACAAATAATATAGAAACTGACACATGTCCTTCAGACTAAGAGATTATAATAAACTGTCTTTTTAAAGGATAAATGGACCTTATTTTTAACACATTTTTTCAAAAAAAGTTCTCCCTTCATGCAAGGTGATCGTTTAACCAAACTAGTAAAGATACAGGTTTTTCTTTTTGGTTTCCAAAATTACTTCAGGACATTTGACTGTATATATGAAATAAGACATGTTACTGAAAGAGGGTGACCAAGTGTCTAGGTGTTCGATGACCTACTGGATAACAAACGTACGTGTAAATGATAGGTTTGAAGTATTTTATACACAGAGTAAGTACTGTACACAGTACCGTTATACTTTGTACGGTCATACAATGTTATATTTGTTACAAGGTATATAGGAATACTTAATGCTTTCTTCTCCCGTGTCTGAAAAAATACAAACAATTATAGTCCATCACAAAGCATTTATCACTGTATTTTATCAAAGTATCTTAAGCATACTCCAACTTTCTTTCCCCATTTTGTGATAAGTACAGATTGATAAACCTCCAATCAAAACCTTTCTTTTTTTAAATGTACACAGAGAATATGTACCGGTATATATCTGTCTATATTGACAGATGACAATGAAGATGATATGATGAGAACAGCTGCTTAGTATTCCTCTATGCCTTGTATAATGCTTAATGATACAAAATGTATATACATATCCTTTGATGTTTAATTTAAAATAATCAAAGTGATATTTGTTTGGGTGGAAAACTTGTGTTGAAAAATCTGTCCAATCTTAAGGCTGAAAATAAAATATGAAATCAAAATGGCAGCTGCTGTGACTGGAAAAAACCTTTAAATGAAGAATATATCAAAATTAAAAGAGCATAATTTTATTATTATTTTTCTTGCTTTTAACAAAAAATAAACAGCCTAGAAATATGTTTAACTGCCATTTTGACCCATAGTGATTTAAAGAAAGAAAACAAAAAATATTTTCAATTTCTTTTGTTTATTTTTGTCGTTGTATTTTTCGAATTTATTACATGTTTTTTCTTTTGATAAAGAACATTAATTTTTATTACAAACAAGTAAATCAATAAAACGGTAAAACAAAACGTTAGAACACAAAACAGGCATGTTCCACATAAAACAATAAAACTCAATAGGGATCAATCTATGGATCAAGATGGCAGAAACATGCAAGCGACACGGGAGTTGTCATGACAACCACAGCGTTTCACATGCTACAGACATGCTATCTGAAATAGCGACTAAATGTGATAAGCCGATTACCTGACTAGGCAAAAGGAACAAATATTGATTATGATATAAATATAATTTCATCAGCTTGTAATAAAACTGGCATATAGACGTAGATATTAATAGCTAAAACAGTTTTAATCACCGGTTCAAAACATAGAATAAGAATATTAGCTCAGAAAGTATTTTAAATTCAAATAATTAGATTGTAAATTTAACTTAAAATTAGAATTGATCCCCATTTTAAAGTTTTCTTGTTTAATCTCCTCAGTTTTTTATATGGATAAATAGAAGACTGATATGAAGCACCTTGTACATATAAATATAAAAGTTATAAAGCTGACACTGGTGTACACGTTCACACGAAGATCTGTGGAGACGACACATACACACCGACTCTCTCTGTACACACACTCTCACATCTCTTTGGAACTCACGTATTTAACTTACTGATCAAACTCTAAGTAGAACACACATGTATGAACTGTCAGTATGATTTCTGTGTACTGGACTCACCACACAGTTTAATGGACTTTGAAGTTGACCAGTATAAAATCTATTAAATGAGTTTATTGAATATTTCAGTTTAAAATCTTAATGGATTATCAAACTGTTAAACAATTGGTTAAATTTATTTACATTAAAAAAACACTTGGATAAAAAGAAGGGTTAATCACACAGAGGATAATTTTTTTATGTGTTTTAAAAATAAAGGCTAAAAAATCTGGATTACTTTTACATATAAGTATTCAATTCTTAGAATCAAAGGTAGATGACTACGTTAGCACTATAGTCTGGTTTGAGCAAAGTTGTATAATTCAAAATAAGACCCTGAATTTTTCTGTTAAAATAGTTACATTTCTGTATTAAAATTGTGTCACTATTTAAGAGTATAATACATTTTTACTGAGTATCAATACATAACTACACTCTACACTGTATTGGAAATCTAACCTTTCCATAACTACACTCTACACTGTATTGGAAATCTAACCTTTCCATGTCTGTGTCTCTCTCCTGCGATAGTTTTACATTGTTTTCCAAGTCACATATAAATATGTGATTACGAAAAGAAAAAAAATCCAGCAAATAATCCGAACACAAACACCTGAACTTGTTTTTTTTAGCAACCTTATGTATAATTCATAGTGAATTCTACAACCAGTCCACAGAGACATTTCTACAACCAGTCCACAGAGACATTCACGTTTTATGTTTAATATTCAGGCCGAGTGACCTGGAAGACGTACAAAACGATTAGAAATATATTTCTATATTCAAACAGACTCCTTAACATTTGTAGTGACAGGATTATATATATAACTTTAACCAGATTTGGGAAACCTCAATACTGAACTATAAATAACTAAACACTTAAGTCTAACATACGTTAACTTGTAAAAATAGCAACAGTAAAACAATAATTACATGTATAATAGTGTTTCACCATAACCTTAAAAAGGATTTCGTAATTCACTAGGAATGTTTCGGAGTACATAAAATCAAGTAACACACTCGAAAATCAATGCTTTAAACTTAAATCCAACATTAACGATAAAAAGAGATTTAAAGTCCGATCAATGGACTTCAAATAGATCAACCAATCACAGACAAGAAATGAGATCACATGTCCACTCTATTAAAACATCCTTCAGTTATTATTTCTATTAAAATATCTCACACAACCTGAGCCTCGTAGCACTTTTGACCTTGCACACCACTTCCTGTATGACTAATTATAGAATTAACTGCCATATAAAGAACTGAGGTATGTTATATAAAAATATCATTATGGACGTTTTCATTACTATGATGAGCTACTGGCACATTTATCAGTATTATCAGATAATTTGAGTTTTATTATCATTCTTGCGTTTGGTAGGTGTCGGCTCTGGGGAGGGTGCAACAAGGTTACCAAAACTGAAAAAACCATAGAAATACAGTTAACGTAAATGTGGCATGTTAAAGTTACAGCAAATTTTCTAAAGAGAAGCTTCTTCTACAACTGCGGAAATACAATTCCAAAACTCCAAATGACTGTCCTGTAAGTGTGGGACAAATCAAAGCTAACTTTTGGATTAGAGATCCCTTTCTGACAAAAAAAGAATTCACAGAAATGTCAATTTTCCCCTTCTACCTTTTTTTGCCAGAATTTTGATGCATTCAAAAGTGTGACCATGTAAAATGTGTAGTTCACACATTTCAATTCCCGAATATAATGGAACACGACTTGCCATTATCAATACAGAAAAAAATCTGATTTTTCAGCGGTATTTTGACAGACAATTTTCCAAAAGCCATGATCCATGAAATTCAAAAGAGTAAGTGATGTTTGTCTGTAAGAATTTCTCAATGTTTTCTATATCTAAACTGATTATTCATTAGACAAAATAAGGTGTAGGAGGAAAAGACTTGTTTTTGGATCATGTCAGATATACTGGCCAATTTATTGACATTTGAGTGAGAAAAAACAAAATTTTGTGATTTTTTTCTTCTTTATAACAGTTGTTAAGGTTTGATATTGAAAAATCTTCCATCAAATGACGAAGGCGTAGAGGCATAAACAAGATTTCAGTAAATCTGACATGATACAATACTACATATATGGAAAGTGAAAAGATGACAGGCAAGTTTCCATGCTTCAGTCTAGTAAGCAGTATAGTCACAGTCTAAAGCAGTCAATCAATCACAACACATAAATCATAAATAATGTCATTCCTGGGTCTGGACTACAAACTACACACCTCGTAAAGAGTCCTAAAGAGTATAGAGACTGATGGAAAACTACTAAGTATGACCCCACTTGTATTACACGATGAAATATCGCAAAAGTTTGAGAAAATCTTGAGCAGGAAATTTCCAATGCAATTGAATGCAATGCATTTTTAAACAAGTGGAGTCTTGTCTTACAAAACATTCTAACATAGATATACATATAAGTAAGGTCATGCAAAGCAAGATATATCTTTATTGTTCTCCATCATAAATGATTAATCAAGTATAAAGTACTATACATTCTGGCTATTTGGTGTTTCGCATAGATATAAGTTATCAAGCACATGAAAACCAAGTTGAGACTGACAACTCATACAATTGGTAAAGTGTAGTAGTCGAACTGGAATGATCTGCACAAAACATTAAATGTGAAAGAGAATCCCATAGTGTGTTGATGAAGATTTCTCCATGTGACTTATTATGATAACTGTTTTTCTTCGTACCTTTGTACTTTTGAAGATGAATCAAAATATATAAGGTTCATTTGACTTTTTTGTATAGTATAAACCACATTTGCTGCCTTAATTTGATAAAACTGTAAATAATTGTTGTTTTGCATTAGGCCTTTTATTGACCAATCAGACTTTCTGACAGAAAAAACCAAGGGAGATAAGTACAACAAACGGGTACTTACAAGTTCCATATGGACGACTTCTTCTGTTTACTGGGTGTGGTGCTGACTTCTGGGTGTTCCCGAGAGGCCCGGATCATCTCCGTCCACCGGACTGCCTCCTGGAGCTCCATCAGTCTCTCTTTGTACTGGTTTCGTTCCATCAGAACACGAGCCATCTCCACACGCGTAAATCTCTTCCTCTGAGCCATCGGCACATCATCCTGACAATCAAAACATAGTTAGAATCTCTACAGAATCTGTTAACAGGTTTTTGTTTACCTAGAATAAGACCAGGAGGCCTCGTTTGTAATTTTTTCTCACAGAAAGTGTGAGGCGAACATAGGCAGATTAACCTGCAAACATTGGGATTTGATTAATGTTACTTTGTATCTTGAATAAACATTTTTTTTTTTCCATTTTCAAAGTACAGCGGTGACTTTCTGAAGGTGTCTCTTTCGTTTCTACTTTATTTCATACACTAACAGATAACAAAACCTAAGACGGGGACAGCCTATAATTTAACCAAGAGCTGCTCTGCTAAATGACAGGGGTGTACTGTTCACAACTCCTCCTAAATGACAGGGGTGTACTGTTCACAACTCCTCCTAAATGACAGGGGTGTACTGTTCACTGTACTCACCTCCTCCTAAATGACAGGGGTGTACTGTTCACTGTACTCACCTCCTCCTAAATGAC